TTTATACCAAAATCGGACCAATAAATGGAGTTTAACATTTCGTTCGTCATACATCCTATCATAAAAGTCCAAAGGAACAATATTTTAACATTTTTATTATTTCCAAACGGCATGTTTTATATAATTTTAACATTAAAATTGTGTTTCGTTTGGCTCCGAAATTTTGGAAAACATTTCATGGTAGGTCCTCAAGAGTGGAGGATGCGCCAAATACGTATCTGGTATTGCATGAAACTTGTAATAGGAATCTTCCTCTCCTCCAGCGAGACAGTATCCATATGTAATGTTGTATAAAGGGGCAGTTCTGACGTCCAAAGATATCAATAATGCTATTCAAATCTTAGTACCTAGTACCTTCCATCGCTCAGCTTGTTTCCTATTCCGAGACGCAAAAAGAATGTTCGAGATTGAAAAACATCTTTATTAGTTTAAATTACTACAACCGCTATAAAACATTGATAAAGTATAAGAAGAGTTTACAAAGCAGTGAAAAAGTAATAAATCTCTCAAACCGTTTACATACATGAAAGGTTAAAACAACATTTTGTATAACGACCAATGTTCCGTGGAGGAAATCGTTCCGTTTCATGACTACTATTTTTGGATAGATACATTATTGAATGTTTAATAGTACTTTTACATTACATACATAAATCAAGTTATATTTGCATGGCTGTGTTTCGGTTTGAAAGGTGGGATATGGCATGAATTTACTGGGTACAGAGGAATAACACCTGAGTCCTCAGGAATGGCAACGCATGGGGGTATCATGGGCGAAACAGTATACTCTGTTATGTCCATGGTACTGCTCATGTCTATAGGCGACGGTTACCACTTTCCATCAGGTGGGCCGTCAGCTTGTTTGCCATTCTAAGCTGTATAAAAAAAAAGTTTGTTCGCAAATGTCCAGTTGTTTCGATCAAGGTCAATTGTGCATCTATTTTTCTTATTATCTTTACTTTTTTTCTTTTTTTAATGAGTGATCATGGATTGGTTACCCCGCCTGCACTATCGGTATACGTTGACGGGAGACCACAAGTGAGGGACGACAGGCGATGATGAAAGCAGGTCAGTTAGCCCATCGTGACGAATTCCACTAGAATTAACCACGATGGTTTCCAGGAGGAACCACGTGGAGGTCGACCTGATAGGGTATATTACTAGCAATGGGTCAGAAAGACCCCCCTATTATTTGTATTAGTATTATTTATTTATTTGCTAGTGACCCGCTCTAGCTTTGCACAGGTACAATGCTGATATTAAAAGGCGCCGGCCTGCCTAATACATTAGAAAACTCTAAAATTATCAGTGTTTCTCTGCTATATATTATAAACTATACATATAAACCTTCCTCCTAAATCACTCTATCTTTTTAAAAAAAAACACATGAAAATCCGTTGAGTAGTTTTAAAGATCTAAATATACATAGAGACTGACAAACGGGAAGCGACTTTGTTTTATACTAAGTAGTGATATAACTCTTTATTGAACCAGAAACATAAAAATAAACAATGACATATAAACAACTCAAGTGAAATACAGTAGCATAGGGGGGAAAGGGATTGTTAGTAATGGAGACTAAGAATCCTATTACTAGCAATATACCCAACCAAGTCGACCTCCTCGCGGTACCCCCTGGAAACTATCATGGTTAATTCCTGATGAATTCATCATGATAGGCTAACTGGGCTGTTTTCATTCTCATCGATCACCCTTCACTGGTGCTCCGCCAGTGTATCCCGTTAGTGCGGGCGGGGTTACCAATCCATTTTCATCCAACAAAAAAAATACTATTTTTTTTTAATGGATGATAATGGTATGGTAACCTCGTCTGCGCTATCGGTATACACTGGCGGGGCACCAGTGATAGATGACTGATGAGGATGAAAGCAGGTCATTTAGCCCATCCTGACGAATTCAACTAGAATTATTAGCTACGATGGCTTCCAGGGGGAACCACATGGAGGTCGACCTGACAGAGTATATTACTAGTAATGGGGTTATTTGACCCCATTGCTAACAATCCCTTTCCCCCCTAATAAAAAAAATACTATTATATAACTAATTCTATGGAAATACTAATGATAGGGAAGAAATGCTTTAAAGTGGCGACTCCGTACAAGTAAACGGAGCGTAGGACAACCTCATAGAATAATGACATTCACAAAAACAACATAATTTTAGAAAATGCTTGTTCTAAAATACTTAACTTACGTGTAAGTTATAGCTAATCTGCATAGTCACGGCCCAGTTAGCAAGTGAGTCAGTGATGGCAGATAACCGAAATAGTTAAACTTGAACTGTGGATTAAAGTTAAAGGCCGTGAAGAGAATGGCTTTTAAATAAGTATATATGTTTACCAAATTATAATATAAGCAGTGAAATCGAGATGTTTAGCGTCTTTTTAAGAGCGTATACCGTCATTGAAAGTGAATATTACTTTCGACTTGGTCACCCAACCTTTTAAATTTTTTAAACTAGTCTATGTCTGCGACTTCGCGTAGATTTCGATTAAAAGCAACCTAACTCATTGCGTCTTTACTGGGGAAAAGGATTGATATTTATGAAGTCTAATAGTTCCATTGCTAGTAGTATATCCTATTTTTTTTTTGATGTATGATAATGGAATGGTAACCCCGCCTGCGCTAACGGTGTACGCTGGTGGGGCACCAGTGAGGGATGATTGGTGAGGATGAAAAGGCAGGTCAGTTAGCCCATCGTGACGAATTCAATGATAAATTAGTTTCCAGGGGGAACCGCGTGGAGGTCGACCTGATAGGGTGTATTGCTGACAATGGGTCAGTTAGACCCCATTACTAACAATCCCTTTCCTCCCGGTGTAAGATGCTGATCAAACAACTTGGAATAGAATTTTATAACATTATATACGTGATGGGAAAAGAAACCGAGGTAGACCAATAAGAAGATGGGAGGATCATTTTCCCAAAGGGTGGAGACAAGCTGCAAGGAATCGTTATAAATGGCGAATTATAGAGGAAGCCTATGTTAAAGGACAACCTGAAAAATAAGTTATTGCCGATGTCAACATTTGTTATTTATACCTATATATATACAATTTAAAAATAATCTATATAATTCAGGAATAAAAGCTTTTTTTATTTTATTTTTTATTTACATGCAGTATTTCCGAACCGATACGACAACATAACCTTCAAGAAAAGAGTATATTCCTTTTTAAAAGGCCGGCAGCACACCTGCAATGCCGCTGGTGTTGTGGGTGATCATGGGCGGCGGTAGTCACTTACCATCAGGTGAGCCGCATGCTCGTTTGCCCCCTGTGTTGTAAAAAAAAAAAAAAAAAAAAAAAACATACGTACTACCACCAGTTAGTCATTAAATCATCATAATTAATTCTGATGATGCGATAACGGTCGGTGATTATGAGCCACAAATATAAGAATACCCCAGGCTAGTGTTGCCTAATAATCGAGTATCGTGTGATCGATAATGTTCATCTATTATAAACTAAATATCGATTTTGGTCTACTAATAGTATCGATTAAATCAATAGTATCAATTTGAATTTTTACCATTAATAATCGATTATAATCGAATCGCATTACTGTCGACAGTTTTTATTACATCAATAGCTAGTTATAAACCGTGTTACCGATTAATTTACGTAGGTGTAATTGATAGTATTGTTCCAGTAGATATCTATTTGGTATTGATATCAACAATTAAAATTGCTTAATTGTTTATAATCGATTATATCATGTTATCGATAACATATTCTAACTATATGATTGCTTTACTAGCTTTTACCCACGACATTATCCGCGTGACTGGGTTAAAAAGTAGCTTAAATATCCTCAACTTGATATACTACGTGTATACCAAATTTCAAAGTGATTGGTTAAGCCGTTAAAGCACTAAGATGTAACGAACATACTCACTTTCACATTTATAATATTACTAAAGATTTATAACCACAATCGAACTATCGATTAATAATCGATGCACACTATTAGACAGCACTATCTCAGTCCCCTGTCTCACTTGTCCGTCAAGCTGAGAATAGGTTTTTTTAGACGATACCTACCTTTGATAAACGCCCATTACTTTACAATGTGTCATAATTTTTGACATTCCGTGACATGTGTGCTTGAGTTGTCAATCTGACATGCCTATGTGGGTGGTGTACTTGTGTTTTTTATTTATTACTAACCACCGGTAATTTGCTTCTAATCGTTGTTTGTTTTTAATGGAATTTAATAATTCAAAGATCATATTCTACATAATGAACCGTCTTCAATTGTGGGGAAGTCATTTATTGTGAATCTAAAAGTTAAATAAGTAAACCGTATACGATAAAATTTCTATGATAATGTTATCTGTATCAAGAACTGATTTGGAATGTATATACTAATAATCTTTCTAAATCGGTTGAAATCTGACGGAGATATGAGGTAACTAATATGACTATAAACTTAATAAACTAAATTCTCTAAATACCTACGTTTCAAGAGCCTACCACAACCTTTTGGACTATTTAGGTACGTTATAGTCAGCCACAGTCAGCGGAGAGTTAGTTCCACATTTTTGTTGATAGTTTTCTGGACTACATTTAATTATTTAGTTACTGCATTTATTAAGAGCCTTCTCAATAAATACAATAATTAAATAAAAATAATTTCTACTACTTTTTAATAAATATTGTAATAGAAAAATTGTTCTGGTCATTTTGTTAATAACTTTACGATGTAGCTACGGAATCTTATTAATGTGGATCCAATACACTTTTAACTTGATCTTTAAAACAAAGTTTACGTTCTTGTGAAATACTTTATACTTTATGGCCCTTGGTGTAACTCTATTAACGATTTTTAAAGGTGAACTAAAGTTATGGGTAATAAAAGCCTCAGTTTTAGTAATCACTGACACTATTAAGTTAGTAACCTAATTTTTATTTATCGCATTTTTCTTTTAAGTTATCTATCGATTATTCAAGTGGGTTGTATAATGAATTACACAACAAGAATGGTATATATATTTGTATATTTATTTAAAAACAGTATAAAGTTCATAATATTTCATTAGTAAGTACTACAATTTATTTAAACATTAATATTTTAATGGAATGATTTACAACTAATAACACCAGTATAATATAAAAAAATGTTAATATGATACGTATACTCAGAGATTAAAAGCGATACAATATGTTTTCAATAACATGTTATAAAAATATCCCCTTTAATAATAATAGGTATGAATAATTATTTTATTTTATATATATTTTTTAATATATATATATATATTTAATTTTGCGATGTGCCTGCACGGATTTCACTGCCACAGTTGCAGTCGACACAACTTGCGATAACTCCTTTCTCATTTCTACAAATGCAGACACATGACTTTCCCCCAGTTATTATGCAAACGCACTTGGAATTGTCACATTTGCAATTGCATCCTCGAGACTGCACACATTTGCAATCGTCGCAGCGAACAAGCTTTCCTTCTGTATTTTGATAGATACAAATACAATATTTTCCATCAGTCGGAACGCAGACACATCCACATTTGTCACACTTCTTGTCACAACCAGTAACTTGACCACATTGTTCAGAACAACACGCGCAATCTTCGCAGGATGTTATATTTCCTTTCTCACCGCGGCAGACGCAAATACAGGCCGCTCCTTTAGTTTGGATGCAAACACACTTTGATTGGTCGCATTTGCAGTTACAGACTCGGGTTTGCGTGCATTTGCAGTTATCACAGCGAACAAATTTTCCTTCTTCATTTTGATACACGCAAATACAAGATCTTCCACCAGTAGGAATGCAGACGCATCCCGTCTTGTCACACTTCTTGTCACAACCGGTAACTTGACCACATTGTTCAGAGCAACACGCGCAGTCTTCGCAGGATGTTATATTTCCTTTCTCATCCCGGCAGACGCAAACACAGGCCGCTCCTTTAGTTTGGATGCAAACGCACTTTGATTGGTCGCATTTGCAGTTGCAGCCTCGGATTTGCGTGCATTTGCAGTTATTACAGCGAACAAATTTTCCTTCTTCATTTTGATACACGCAAATACAAGATCTTCCACCAGTAGAAATGCAGACGCATCCCGTCTTGTCACACTTCTTGTCACAACCGGTAACTTGACCACATTGTTCAGAGCAACACGCGCAGTCTTCGCAGGATGTTATATTTCCTTTCTCATCCCGGCAGACGCAAACACAGGCCGCTCCTTTAGTTTGGATGCAAACGCACTTTGATTGGTCGCATTTGCAGTTGCAGCCTCGGGTTTGCGTGCATTTGCAGTTATTACAGCGAACAAACTTTCCTTCTTCGTTTTGATACACGCAAATACAAGATCTACCACCAGTAGGAATGCAAACGCATCCCGTCTTGTCACACTTCTTGTCACAACCAGTAACTTGACCACTTTGTTCAGAGCAACATGCACAATCTTCGCAGGATGTTATATTTCCTTTCTCATCGCGACAGATGCAAACACAGGCCGCTCCTTTAGTTTGGATGCAAACACACTTTGACTTGTCGCATTTGCAGTTGCAGCTTCGGGTTTGCGTGCATTTGCAGTCATTACAGCGAACAAACTTTCCTCCTTCGTTTTGATACACGCAAATACAAGATCTTCCACCGGTAGGAATGCAGATGCATCCCGTCTTGTCACACTTCTTGTTACAACCGGTAACTTGACCACATTGTTCAGAGCAACACGCGCAATCTTCGCAAGATGTTATATTTCCTTTCTCATCGCGGCAGACGCAAACACAGGCCGCTCCTTTAGTTTGGATGCAAACGCACTTTGATTGATCGCATTTGCAGTTGCAGCCTCGGGTTTGCGTGCATTTGCAGTTATTACAGCGAACAAACTTTCCTTCTTCGTTTTGATACACGCAAATACAAGATCTTCCACCAGTAGGAATGCAGACGCATCCCGTCTTGTCACACTTCTTTTCACAACCGGTAACTTGACCACATTGTTCAGAGCAACACGCGCAATCTTCGCAGGATTTTATATTTCCTTTCTCATCGCGGCATACACAAACACAGGCCGCCCCTTTAGTTTGGATGCAAATACACTTGGAATTGCCACATTTGCAGTCACAAGTCTGCGTACATTTGCACTCATCACAGCGGATAAGCTTACCCTCGTCGTTTTCGTTTACGCAAATGCAGGATTTTCCATCAGTTGGAATACAGATGCATCCAGCCTTGTCACACTTCACATCACCCTGACAGCTCTTGTTCACAGCTACGTTACAGCACGCCATCTTGAAGTATCTGTTGAATTAAAAAGAATAACAATTTAGTTTTAAATATGGATATTAGATTTATAAAAATGAATGAACTGTCTTTGCTTACTTGTATCTTTCCTATAATGGGGTCTTTCAAAGTTAGAGTAAATGAGTATTATTTGAGTTTGCGTGTATCACCTAAGACCTCATCGTTACTTAAACTCAAATTCAATATAAATTAAAAAAAAATAGTTTTCACGTAGTAGATAAGAGTAAAAACAGCCTGCTTTTTATCACTGCCTATTTTCTAGATACATAGATACTCTTTATTGTTTCCTCCAAAAGATTACAATAGTAAACTTATTATAAATATAAACAATTACAAGAAATAATCACAATCACAGTTATATAATATATTTTTAAGTTTTTCTAAGGAAATTCTTTCTTTTATTCTATGTTTCTAGATGAAACAACAACAAGCTTTGTCACTCTAATAATTACAACATAAAAAATTACATATTATAATTAAATTGTGGTCCACAAAAAATGACGTCAATTGTGGGCGAAACCAGTTATTTTGATTCTAAAACTAAACCGATTTTGATTAAATTTCTACACGACCAATCTGTAAGTATATCTTTTATATACAGTGAAAAGTAAGTATATCTTTTATATAAAAAAAATATTTGAAAAAATAGTTAATAATTAATATAAAATCAAAACTAAACCTATTAATTTTTAGTGAACACAAAAAGATTTACAAGAATCGATTCAAAATTGTTGATGTAATCGTGTAATATAGCTAAACATAACAAAAAAATCCCTTACTATTGGCATATTACAAATTTCAATTCGAATCTTGACAAAAATATTACAAGACAAAACGGGAATAAATATACAAAAAATAAATCTTTCAAATAAAAAAAATCCTATAATATCATTTCACGATTGTCGGAAATATCGCATAACGTACATAAGAAAAAAAATACCAATTAAAACCTCCTATTTGAAGTCGGTTACAAAGAAAAACAAATCACAATTACATGGATCAGCACAAACAGACAGCAGCAACCAGAGGGAGGATTTGTACAAAAGTCGATTGCTTGGGCACCTCTGTCCCACTCGTGTTTCTACCGTGAAGCAATTGTGTTTGCATGGTTGTATTTCGGTTTGAACGGTGGGATATGGCAGTGAATTTACAGGGTACTAAGGAATAACGTCTGCGTCCTCAGGAATGGCAACATATGGAAGGTATCATGGGCGAAACAGTGCACTCTGTTATATCCATGATACTGTTCATATCTATAGGCAACTGTTACCACTTTCCATCAGCTTGTTTGCCATTCTAAGTTGCATAAAATTAAATAAAAAAAAAAGATATAAACATTTACAACACAAAAATCTATAAATAAACAAACAATATATGATAATTACTTACGTATTTCTCGTAGATACGCTCCCTCTTCAGTCTATATGATAAGCCAGTTGTACACTGATATTGATAACGTAAGTAACACTCATATATATTTGATAGTAACATCGTGCGCAAAACTATTGTACCGAGCACATCGTGTCGTGTGCACTCGCCGGGCGCAAAATGACTCACAATCACATCATGACACCCTTAGTACCGTGTGAATTGATAACGGTCGAACAGCATCTCTCTGGAAAGTTCTTTTACCTATTAGAAACTATCTTATCTGTATTTTTAACTAATTATTATTTTTCCATTTGATAATGAATGAGCAATACTGTCTTGTTTATTTATTTTATTTATTTATTTATATGCTTTTGTATACAGGTCTTAATTCAATAATAAATAAGAATTTATCGAAAAAACAAGTTAACAGGTAACTTTTAATAACTAAATGGTGAAAAATAAAAAAAAGTGTAACCGACTAAACCAAATTACATATAAATTTTACTATTATACTTAATACTAATAATTATTCTTCTTAATGTTTTATTCTGTTAATTTTCTTAATTATACAATATTTACTTGTACAACAATTAATCCATTACCCTTAGGTTGTCTTGAAAAGATTGCTCTCAGCCATAAGACCGCCTTGCTGTACTTATACAATTGTATCGTTATATTTATTAATTGTCTTGGTTTTTTTCCCTATATTGTATAATGCAAATAAAGTATACTCATTCATTTATTCATTCGAAAGCAAATAACAAACACACCTTTTGCCAGAGGGAGACTTTGTACAAAAGTCGATTGCTTGGGTACCTCTGTCCCATTCGTGTTTCAACCGTGAAGCAGTTGTGTTTGCATGGCTGTGTTTCGGTTTGAAGAGTGGGATTTGACGTGAATTTACTGGGTACAAAGGAATAACACCTGAGTCCTCAGGAATGGCAACGCATGGGTGGTATCATGGGCGAAACAGTATACTCTGTTATGTCCATGGTACTGCTCATGTCTATAGGCGACGGTTACCACTTTCCATCAGGTGGGCCGTCAGCTTGTTTGCCATTCTAAGTTGTATAAAAAAAAACTTTTTCTATTTTTTAGACTTCATTAGTTGACCTCGACCTCGAGTTCACTTCATATATGATCAGATATTAATGACTGTTATAATAACCTTTGACACTAACTACACCAAAACGATTTAGAAGCATGTCATGTTGCACAAGTTTGTAATAGATATCATAACAGAACCTACTAGGGATGACGTCAACCGTGCACACTGACGTCATCGGTTATTTCCGTGCGTACTTTCATCACCAGTCTAATCCTTTTGGATGATTTGTCAAGAATCCATTTGTAATATTTTGAAAATTAATCCCCACCAAAATTATCGATGACATCATGGTACCAATCTGGTATATTCTGTCTCAATAGTACTTAATGAAAAAGTAAACATACATTATTTGAAACTAGTAATAACACCTGATTCCTCAGGAATGGCAACGCATGGGGGTATCATGGGCGAAAAATTATAATCTGTTATGTCCATGGCTATTATGTCTATAGGCGACAGTTGCCACTTTCAATCAGTTGGGCCGTCAACTTGTTTGCCATTATATGTCGCATATGGTCGAGCCTTTAAACTAAGAGTACCTTACATGTTTTGAATATTATAATTAAATTATATATTTTTACATGTTTTTTAAAGGGTGATAAAGGAATAGTAACCCCGCCTGCGCTATTAGTATACGCTGGAGGGGCACCAATGAGGGATGATAGATGACGATGAAAGCAGGTCAGTTAGCCTATCAAGACCAATTCTACTAGAATTAACCATGATAGGCGGAACCGCGTGGAGGTCGACCTGGTAGAGTGTAGTGTTGCTAGTAATAGGAAAATTAGACCCCATTAATAACAATCCCTCCCCCCCCCCCGTATACTCATGTTATGGCTAAGCACAGAAATTGTCTTATACTAAAATTGACAACATTATAATACAGTTCGATTGCAAATATTCCGGAAAGCGTGGGCGTCGTTGCCTTGAGATTTAAAACTAATATGGCGAGAGCAACCTGTATATAATAAATTATTTAAATGTTGCACAATAAATAAGGTAGTTTATTACATGCGAAACATAAATGCATTACTTAAACGGATCAAGATTGAATATGAAACTATTCTTGTTTTTTCTTCTTTGATTTTATCATAAACAATTCAATGAAACGAAAGAAATACAAAGAATATTTTAATATACGTGTATTATTATAAGATATGTATGTAGTTTGAATGTAAGTATATAACTTACACTATATTTAAGTAAGCATATTTATTTTTTCTTAATATATACAACCTACTGATTCCTCTTCTTATTGTACGCACACTGCCCGCTGGTAATTAATGCTCCTTTCTACTCAGAATTTACTGGAAGAGAACTCTTACAGAGTTAAGCTCAGTAATTCTTGTGTACAATAAAGTATAAATGATAAATAGCGTTACTATACGCCATTCTTCAATTAGTTAGGTCGTCATCCTCATCATATCAGCCGTTCACTATCCCTCTATTGGAGGGTTTTACCAGTAGTTACCACACTTGGCAGACGGATTGGCAACCGCAGTAAGGTTTTAGAGATGTTTTAAGAGGGACGCTGCTGCCCATCTCTCCCCCTTCCTTAGTCGTCTCTTACAATATGTTACAAACTCCTTTGTAATTTGTGTTTCAAATATTGTATTCTTTTAATTGTAAATTTTTTTTTTTGATAAATTGTTAGTATATCTTTTCAACACGAACCGGCGTTCTCTTTGCTACAATCAGTTCAAAATACAATACTTAAGGGAAAAGAAGGGGTGGCATATTTTTGCCGGGACCACACGGCCAAGTAAAAGCATATGCTTAATAATATTATAAATGTGAATGTTACTTTGTTTGTTTGTTACCTTATAGCGTCTTACCATGTGGAGGTCGACCTTATAGGACATATTGCTAGCAATGGGACTGATAGTCCGCATTACTAACAATCCCTTTCCTCCCCACACACACGTACTATATGAGATAGAGAAGGATATAGACTATTTTTGATTCCGTTCAGTAAACATAACCCGGTCACGCGGACGCGATGCACGTATAGTCTTTTTTTTTTTTTGATGGGTGAAAATGAAATGGTAACCCCGCCTGCGCTAGTGAAGGGTGATCGATGAGAATGAAAACAGGCCAGTTAGCCTATCATGATGAATTCATCAGGAAATTAACCATGATAGTTTCCAGGAGGAACCGCGAGGATGTCGACCTGGTTGGGTGGGTATATTGCTAGCAATGGGATTTTTAGTCTCCATTACTAACAATCCCTTTCCCCCCAAGTATAAGCTTGAAATTTTATTATTTTATTAGTTATGCAAAATATATTTTATTATATTTCGAGACAAAGGTCAATGGTGGTATGATAACCATCAATATAATGTAGTTTTCTGTTGGAATTCACTAATTAGTCGGGTACTGTTTAATCTACAACACGTAGAAGTATCAGGAAAACAAAAGCCCGCGCAAGTTAACGGGCAATAACTAGTCCATGAACCTGGATTGTACCCTCAGGTGTTTCATTGTCTAGTTTCCCATAGTACAGACTAGCCTAGTTCTGTTAGACGAATGGTGAGATTTACTCTTATATTGTCTATACAGAGAGAATCTATAATCATGTAGGTGTTAATATATAAATACTACATTAACATGTATGTTTATTTTATTAATGTTTGTATGTATGTATGTATGTATGTATGTATATACCATCCTATACTTAAATATTATTTTATTTTTTAAACCGCCATCTTATATCTCTGCACATCCTAAATTGCAAAAATTGTTGGTTTAAAAAAAACTATATTAAAAATGAATGAGACAGAAGCCAATAGGGAGATCTTTTTTTTTTTATACAACTTAGAATGGCAAACAAGCTGAAGCTGATCTTCAAAATAATTGACAGAATTGACAAATACACATTCATTTGTTTCGTTTCTTACACTCTTTTCATTACATTGTCGTACTACAAAGGGAATATTTGGTCTCATTCATTAGTAATTATTAAATCTCATATTGTCCTAAATTCACTGATGTCGCATCTGTCGTATATACGTCGTAATTGCTTAATATTTTTATTCATTTGATGCAAGTATCTGTTATCGAACAGAACAATGCATCGTGCGTGCATATTTTTTATCGCAAATGATTCATAGTGATTCAATAGAGGTCATGAGAATGAGAGGTTATGGCGCTATAGTTTTAAAATTTTGAATCGATTTTATTTATTCATTTATTTATTTATTCTTTATTGGCCACATTACAAAAAAAATGTCTGGTACAAAAGGCGGACTTAATACTGTATAGCATTCTCTCCCAGTCAACCTTTGGCAAAACAGAAATTTATAGATAGATAGATAGATAGTCTTTACTGTTTCCTCCAAATTATTACAATAGTAAACTTATTATAAATATAAACAATTTAATTATTTAATTAAAAAAAAAATATCTCTGGCAATACAACGCGGAAATGCCGCAAGTGTCATGGGGACCTTTGGGTCGAGTACGGATCATGAATAAGACTGATCATTAATTAAATTTTATTTTTGTGATTGAAACATTATTGCATGTATAAAATAAATAACAATATATTTAAAAATTTTATTAAAAAAAAATATTAGTGAATTCTTTAATTTTACTATTAACTAAATTTATTCGCGACTTCGTTCGTATTATAATTGCATTATAAAGGGATGCGCTTACATTTGGCAATTGATTTTTATTTATATAGATTAAATGACCGGATATATAATATTTGACTAGAATAACAAGTAGGTATATTATGTCCTTCTCCGTCCCAAATACTGGTTGTGTATCAAATTTCATTACAGTTGAGTCGAAACAAACATACTTACATTCACGTTTCAAATAGATATTTAAGATTGTGTTCCACAAAAAACCGACTTCAACTGTGGCAAAATAAATTATTTTTATTTTAAAACTAAACTACTAAATTGATTTTAATAAAAATTTTACTTATTTATACTTATTACGTAACTTATTTTTATAAAATCAATTTGTAAGTTTTTTATTATCTTTTATCAATTTAGAAAATTTTTATCTTTAACTATTTAAATTTATTCCATTAGAAACATTTATA